TCAGGGGTGGAAAGGAGGAGTGTGCTGTCACAGTATGGGCAGAGCAATTAGAGTCACATAACAATGTATGTATAAATTTTTGTATGGGAAAAAAATTTAAAACAAGAATGTTCAACATTAGCATTTTACTCTTGTAAAGAATTATCTATATGAGATCAAATTGTCGACAGTAACCCTAGAACAGATAAGAAATTTTGAAAGTAGTGAGTCTAAGTCAATGGTGGTGAAACAATATGGGTAAAGATAGAGTGGTGACACAAGGTAAAGGAATGTAACCAATTGAATTGTACTTGTAGAAACCGATGTATTGGTGTACCTTCTGCCACATAAATTTTCACCAAAATTAAAATAAAAATTAAAAAAAGACAAAAAATGAAGTCATGATGCATGTCACAACATGGATGAACCTGGGAAACATCATGCTGAGTGAAATTAGTCACAAAAGGACAAATACTGTATGATCTCACTTACATGATATAAGCAAATATGTATAAACCAACAATTATTAGTCATTACCAGGGGTGGAAGGAAGAGGGCAAAGAGGGAGTTTTTGCTTAGGGGGCAATGAGTTTATGTTAATGGTCGTGGAATGATTTGGAAAATAATAGTAAGAATGGTTGTACAAGTTGAAGAATGTAATCAAGGTCACTGAATTATACATGTGGAAATTGTTGAATTGGTGTATGTTTTTGTTGTGTATATTTTCACCACAATTAAAAAAAAACTGAGGAAAACGTGTAAATGGCATTAGACTAAGTAGATTTCTGCAAGTGACATTGTTGGGCTTCATTAACATAACAAAGAAAACCTATTCCCAAATGGGAATTATAACCACAGGTATAGGGGTTAGGATTTACAGCACATTTTGGGGAGACAGAATTCAGTTCAAAACACACGTCAAAACATTCACCAATACAACTTCCACATATACATCTCAATGACGTTGATTACGTTTTTCATGTTGTGCCACCATTATCGCTATCCTTTTCCACAATATTCCACCACCATTAACATAAACTCAATGCCCGCAAACAAAAATTTCCCCTTTTCCTCTCACTCTTGCCCCTGGTAACCATTAATAATCATTGCTTTCTATATGTTTGCCTATTTCATATAACTGAATCCCTAAGCTTTTTAAGCAGTCCCTTATATGTGCTGTTTCTGCTTCCCTGGATAAGGCTGCTTTCTCTCCTCTGGGAGCCTGCTTCCCCTTGTGGAAATGGAATTAGTAGTCTCTCTCTTCTGGGTGAGGCTCATGTTAGTTACAACAGGGATCACCCTCGACCGGGACTGCCTGTGACCACCTCTGCCTCCACATGCACCACCAGACTGAGGGCTGCTCCAGGGCAAGCAAGTCCCAGGCCTACACAGAAGACCTGGCAAAAGTGATTCCCATCTGGAAAGAGTGGTGAGAGTCCATGAAAGCTCAGAAGTTGTGTCTGTCCATCTTTAGCTGGGGAGGGGCCTTGGGTTGGTAGCAAGTGTCAGAGAGCTCAGGAGAGTTTGTTATTGTTAGTTGCTGTCTAGTCAGCTGCAACTCATGGTGACCTCATGTACTACAGAATAGAACGTTGCCTGGTCCTTCGTCACCTTCCATTGTTGTGGCCAGTGTATTTTGAGTGTTTTCCAACCTAGGAGACTCATCTTCCAGCACTATATCAGACAATATCCTGTTGTGATCCATCAGGTTTTCACTGGCTGATTTTTGGAAGTAGATCGCCAGGCTTTTCTTCCTAGTCTGTCTTAGTCTGGAAGCTCAGCTGAAACCTGTCCAACATGGGTTACCCTGCTGGTATTTGAAATACCTTTGGTATAGCTTCTAGCATCATAGCAACATGAAGCCACCACAGTATGACAAACTGACATACAAGGTGGTGGCAGGAGAGATTAGGGAAGGATCTGGTGGAGGAAGGGGGGAATGGAGCTAGGGTTAGTCCTAGTGGGGGAGGGAACAGTAAAAAAAACCCATTGCTTTCGAGTTGATTCGGACTCATAGCGGCCCTATAGAACAGCGTAGAATTGCCCCACAGGGTTTCCAAGGAGCACCTGGTGGATTCTAATTGCGGACCTTTTGGTTAGCAGCCGAACTCTTAACCAGTATGCCAGCAGGGTTTCCAAAAACAAAGGGTAGGGGGTTGGAATAAAGGAGCCAGCACACTTGGGAAGGTGTTCAGAAGGGTCCCTCAGAGATGAACTAGTGTGGTCCTTGTTTAACAGAGGCCGGGAGATGGCAAGCCCTTTATTCAGTGTCACAGAGCGACGTCATCAGCTTCCTCCCCATTGGGAGGAATATGCAACCCCTACTATGTGGCACTCATTGTTCTAAGCGCAAGGATCTACGGCAGTGAACAAAACAAAGACTTCCACTTTCGTGTGGAGCTTTTAATTCTAGGTGTAATTATTATGAATTGCTAATTATGTTTGCCGCTAGGATTGACAGAGGAGTGATCCCAATGGGGAGGGGGATGCCCCAGAGGGTCGCCCCGTGAGTCAGAGCTGTCTCCAAAGCCCCCACTTCTCAATCTCCCTGTTTCCCATCCCGTTGCTATCAGGAGAAGGCCTCCACAGAGTTATTGCGGATATTTCAAAAATTAAACGGGATATTCGGGGGAAACGGGGTTATCTGGCAGGGAGGGGGAGTGAGAAGTACTTTGTGGATAGGCTGGATTGTCAATAAAGTTTTGTCGCCTTGGCAACCTCAGGCCTCGCTGGGCGGGACGATGTAGGTGCGCGCGCATTCACCTCCTCGACCGCCACCCCTCCGCCGCCCCTGCTTTCTCTCTCCTGTGGCCGTAGGTTTCACAAGAGAAAGAAAAGAGGGAGCTCGAGACCCTACGTTGACGGGCGGAGGTCTTAACCAATGGGAGGAGAGCCTTTCCAAGGCCAACCAATCATATACGACTGCTGGAGCCGGCGAGCCCGCCCTCTTTCCTCTGGGACCTGAATAACCTGACCCAACCCGAATTTAACCCGGAGCGACGGCTTTCGGCCAATGAGGGCGTCGACTTCAGGCCACGGCGGATGAGGAGGCGGGAATACGTCTCCATGGCAGCTGCAGAAGGACAGCTGCTTGGCCCAATAGCAGTAGTTGGCGGCGCTTGATGGCAGCGCGGGCGTTTCGGGGTTTTATAGGGGCACTGGCAGGGGGCGGGCGGGGTGAGCCAGAGAGCGCCTCGACCAATGGGAGCGGCGTGAGCTCCATAGCAACTGATGAATAGCGGCAGCCTTGGCCATTAGGAGCGCGCAGAGGCCGGGGCGGGGCGGGGCGGGCCCGGCGGGGCAGACGGGAGGCGCGGCGACTGTGTCTGACGAGAGCTGGAGGAGGCAGTGGGAGGTGGTGGCGGCGGCGGCGCGGGCGCCTGAGGAGGAGGAGGAGGAGAAGCGGGTGAGGGGCGGCGCGGGGCCCGACCTCTGAGTCCCCTCACAGCCCCCGCCCCGCGCCGCTTTGGCTCCCAGTCTCCCCCAGCCCCGACTGTCCCTCACCCCACCCGACCCCTCCTCCCGTGCTGGCGCCTCACCTCTCCGGGCCCAGGCTTCTTTCGGTGTCCCCAGCCCCTTCCCTGTGGCTTCTGACCCAGGCCTCTCCCAGCACCCTCAGGCCCTTCCCCAGGACCCTTCTGACTCCCCAGGCCTCTTTCTGGACCACCAGGCCCTTCCCTCTGACTTTGGCCCTTACCCAGGCCCCTCCCTGCGCCCCAAGACCCTCTCTGACTTTCCAGGCCCCTCCCTGCGCCCCAAGACCCTCTCTGACTTTCCAGGCCCCTCCCTGCACCCTCTGGCCCTTCCCCAGGCCCCTTTTTGCACCCTTGGGCCCCTCCCTGGACCCCTAAAACCCACTTGGACTCTTTAGGCTCCTCTCTGCACCCCAAGCCCCTCTTTGCACCCCCGGAGCCCTCTATGACTCCCCAGGGCCCTCCTTGCACCCCGTGACTCTCTCCCCCGACTCTCCAGGCCTCTTCCTTGACTCCCAGACCCTTCCTTGTCCTTTCTGTCACTCTCCAGGCCGTTCCCTCAATCCCCAGGCCTGTCCTTTGGCCTCCAGCCCCTTTATATATTGGCCCTTGGGTCTTTCTCTGTGTTGTATCTTCCTAGAAGTCTCCCTGGAACCCCGAAGGCCTTCCTCTGGCCCCCCTCACACTCTCCAGGCCCTTTCCTGGACCCCTAGGTCCCCTCTGACTTTCACGCCCCATCCTGGACCCTCAAACCCTTCCTGAACATCACTGCTAACCCAGGTCCCTCCCTGGACCCCTAGGCCTTCCCCAGGCCTCTCTCTTGACCCTCTCTGGACTCCAGACCTGTCTCAGGACCCTCCCTGAACCCCCAGGCCTCCCTCTGCCTTCCCCTGACCCGAGGCCCTTCCCCTTCCTCGCCTTTCTTGAACTCCTAGCCTTGTCGTGGACCCCCAGGCCTACTCAGGACCCCTGGGCCCTCCTCAGGCTTCTGTACCGTACCTCCAGATAACTCCTACTGTGTGTAGTCCCTCTGCCATCCCCAGTCCCCTCTGCGCCGTTTAGATTTTGTCTCTCCACGCGCCACCCCAGACCGCTCTGTCCTAGCTTCCTCCCCCAGTACCTTCCAATCCCTTCTACAGCCCTTCTTGACTCCCATCCCTCAGCACACACACACCCCCGCCCCACCTGTTCTCCTCTCCTCCTCCTCCTCCTCCTCCTAGTGCTTGAAGCTCCTCACCCCCGTGGGTGCCCAGCTGCCCACAATTGGCCTTAGGGCTTTTTCTCACTCCCTTCGTGTGCTGTCTTCTTCCTTCTCTTTTGACCTGAGTTTGGTTCTCCACACTGCCTTTCTCTCTGCCCCTCTTTTGTCCTCTGCCACCCCCTACCCCTGCAGAGGGAGCAGGTGCTCAGCTCCCTCCTCCACTCTTCCCCACCCCCCTCCGGGCTGCTGGGGCTGCTGGGGCTTCACCCGGAGCCTCCTGACAACTCCCACGGGTGGGTGGGGAGGGGGGCGGGAGGAGCACGGGGGACACTTCCTCCCCTCCCCCACTGCCACCTCCCGCAGCCCTCCCCGACTTCACGTTAATCAGTGCTTGCACACGGGTTGGGGGTGGGATATGTGTGTCAGCGTGTGTGCATGTGTGAGAGATCAGGAAAAGGTGCGTGAGTCGCGTCAGGAGAGTACAAGTGAGGGGTCAGCACGTGTCAGGGGCCTGTGTGAGTGTGTACTTGGAGTGCCTGGCTGTATGTGTGCACACAGGCAGGTGTGTGTATGTTTAATGTCCGTGCATGTGTGGGTGTGCAAATGCGTGCATGAACGCATGGTGTCTGCATAGTATGGGGATGCCAGGAGAGTGCACGAGTGGGGGTCGGCACGTGTTGGGGGGTCTGTGTGTGTGCACTTGTCGGAGTGCCCGGCTGTGTCCACGTGAGGTTTGTGTGTGTAATTTCCGTTCGTGTGGTGCATGTGTGTGTGCATGTGTGTCATGTCCGTGCAAGTGTGTGCATTGCAGAGAAGGGTCAGGACAGTGTTGGGGAATCTGTGTGTACTTGTTGGGTTGCCTGGCTGTGTGTCTGCACGTGGGTGTGTGTGTATGTAATGTGTGTGGGTGTGCATGCCTATGGGTCACGTCCATGTGTGTACATGTGTGTACGTATGAAAGGGGTCCACATGTGTTGGGGATCAGTGTGGGTGTGTACTTGTTAGGATGCCTGGTTTTGTGTGTACACATGGAGGTGCGTGTTTAGAGGTTTGTGTCCTGAGCAAGAAGAGATGGAAACAACAGTGCCAGAGACTGGGTCATTTACTTTGAGGCTCCCACCCTCAGTTTGGTTTGCATCTTGAACTGCGCAGTCTCATGCCCAATGACAGCCCTGTGAACTCAGTGTTGCTTGTATCCTCATTCTGTACACGAAGAGACTGAGGCCCCCCCAGAATGAGCACCCAGCTTACAAGTGGCCCAGCAGGTGCAGAGCTGAGCCCACCCCAGTCCTGAGCTGTGCTGGCTGCCCCTGCCCTGTCATCACCTGCCCTCCGCCCTCCACCAGCAGCATGGTCCGTGGGGCACAATGGGGCCGGACAGAGTAACTGCCCGAGAGCTGTGTGAGAACGACGACCTGGCCACCAGCCTCGTCCTTGACCCCTACCTCGGCTTCCGCACCCACAAGATGAATGTCAGGTGAGGTGGCCTGCAGTCGAGGGCGGGCCCAGGGGTCAGGGACCCGGCCCCTCCACCCACTGCCCCCCTTAGCCCGCCCCTCGCTCAGCTCCCAGCTCCCCCTGGGGGTCGGGGGCAGGGCCGGGAAGGCCAGGAGGGACATAGGCCGAGGCCCTGGGACCCAGGCGTGCCCTCTCCCCCAGCCCCGTGCCCCCCCTGCGGCGACGGCACCACCTGCGCTCAGCGCTGGAGGCTTTCCTGAGGCAGCGGGACCTGGAGGCTGCGTACCGGGCCCTGACGCTGGGAGGCTGGATGGCCCACTACTTCCAGAGCCGGGGCCCGCGGCAGGAGGCTGCCCTCAAGACCCACGTGAGGGTGCCCTTCCCTTCTCCCCGGCCCCGCTCTGCCCTGGCCCGTTTGCCTGCCCCAGGCCTTCCCTGACTTCCTAGCCACTCAGGCCATCTGAGGTGAGGCTCAAAGAATCCTAGGAGAAGAGAGTTGGGGGGCCCTCTGAGATGGAGTTCACCTTCATTTGACAGATGAGGAAACTGACGCCCTGAGAGGGGAAGTGAGTCCACAGCAAAACTAGGACACAGAGCAGGACTAGCACCCCGGAGAGAGGGCCATGGACGTCCCAGCCCTGCCTCCTCACCCCACCCACCCCCCTCACCTCCCCCAGATCTATCGCTACCTCCGCGCCTTCCTGCCTGAAAGCGGCTTCACCATCCTGCCCTGCACCCGTTACTCCATGGAGACCAATGGAGCCAAGATTGTGTCGACACGTGCTTGGTAAGAGGGTCCCAGGCCTAACAGCTGCTGGAAGAGAAAGGAGTAGGGGTGCTGAGGGGAGGATGAGGAGGAAGTGGGTCACTGAGGAGAGGACAAGGACGAGGTGGGGACGCTGAGGGGAGGAAGATGAGGTGGGGCGCTGAGGAGAGAACAAAGACGAGGTGGGGGTGTTGAGGGAAGGATGAGGTGGGGGCAGTAAGGGGAGGAGGATGAGGACAAGGTGGGGCGTTGAGGGAGAACCAGGATGAGGTGGGGTTGCTGGAGGGGAGGATCAGGATGAGGTAGGGGTGCTGAGAGGAGGAGGACAAGGACGAAGTGGGGCTGGTAAGGGAGGGAGGATGAGGACAAGGTGGGGGCACTGAGGGGAGGATGAGGTGGGAGCATTAAGGGGAGAAGGATAAGGATGAGGTGGGGGCACTGAGGCCACTGGGGGTAGGAGGAGGAGGTGGGGGCACTGAGGGAAGGACAAGGTCGAGGTGCTCGGGGGAGAAGGTGGGGGCGTTGCGGGGAGAAGGACAAGGACGAGGTGGGGTGGTGAGAGGAGGAGGGGGGCGCTGAGGGAAGGATGAGGACAAGGTGGGGGTGCTGAGGGAGAGGAGGTGGGAGCACTGAGGGAAGGATGAGGATGGGGTAGGGGCACTGAGAGGAGGCTATGCAGACCCCATGTTCATGGCCATGTGGGAAGAGGTGATTTTTTGCTCAGAGAGAGGGGCCTGGTGGTCTCCTAGGGACTGTGGGAAGGAGATGGGGCCAGGCCAAGATCCTTGATGCCCACCATGACCCTGCTGGGGGATGCTGCCTCTTCTTTTGTTTATTCCCCACCTGAGCCCCTCCTGTATGCCACATACTGGGGACAGGACAGGGAACAGGATGAACTGGTCCTGGTCCTGTGGAGTTTATAGCCTAGCTATCGTGGAAGGCAGAGGGTAACCAGACACTTATGCAGCTATTTACCACAGCAGTTGGGAAGTGCTGCAAAGGAGCCAGCCCAAGGATTTGGAGAGAGTGTGCACAGAAGTGAGGTTTCAGCCTAGGTGGAAAGATGCCACTGGGGGCGGTGGAGCAGGCACAGCCCAGGCTGGGGCACTGGGAGTGGGGAAGGACAGAGAGAATCCCTTGCAGGGCAGCCCCAGCAAGGTCTGAAACAGAAGGAGGGCCCTCCGTCCATCTCTGGTTCTAGGAGGGGAGCCCGTCCAGGCAGGGGAGAAGGATGGGTGGACAAGGATGTGTGGAGAGACATAAGGAGACAGGGAGGAGGGGTTTCAGATTTGGAAACTGCATACACATGGTTGGCCCCAGTCCCTGGATTCTGCCGGAAGAAGGCCCCGTTCTGTCCCTGAGCGAGCATGGACAGGAGGTGTGGCTCACAGCTGGTGTCTCAGGAAGAAGAACGAGAAGCTGGAGCTGCTGGTGGGCTGCATTGCAGAGCTGCGCGAGGCTGATGAGGGGCTGCTAAGGGCTGGTGAGAATGATTTCAGCATCATGTACTCAACTCGCAAGCGCAGTGCCCAGCTGTGGCTTGGCCCTGCTGCCTTCATCAACCATGGTGAGCTCCACGGGCAGGCGCAGGGTGACAGGAGGGCCATCCCTTGTGTCCCTTCACAAGCCTCATTTCTCTCTTCTTTCCCCAAATGCCATCCCTTGCTGGCTCCAGACTGCAAACCCAACTGTAAGGTAAGACCTGGGGCCCCAAGTTAGGGGTGTTGGGGAGAACGAAGTGGTAAAAACCCGAACCCTTTGCTATTGAGTTGATTCTGACTCAGTGACCCGATAGGACAGAGTAGAACTGCCCCATAGTTTCCAAGGCTGTAAATCTTTACAGAAGCAGATCACATCTTTCTCCCGTGAAGTGACTGGTGGGTTCGAACCACCGACCTTTTGGTTAGCAACTGAGAGCTTTAGCCACTGCGCCATCAGGGCTTCCTGAAGAGATTGAGGGAGGTCACATATCTTCAGCGCGTCCCACTGCACAGAGCCGTTTCATACCTACCTGAGCTCCCCTTCCCCTGGGCCTCGCTGGAAGGGGCAGAGCAGGTATTTGTCCCTGCTAGCCATCAGAGAAGCAGGGGGTGTTGGCTTGGCCAGTCCCACCTAGATAGCGGGGATGGAGAGGAGGGGGACGGAGGCAGGACATGCAGCAGATAGGAGGTGGCAGCTGGCTCAGCTCGGGGCCAGGTGGCTTGCAGGCATATGTAGGACCTGAGTGGACGGGTGGACAGATGGTGGTCATCTCGCTTCCCATATGGGGGCGCAGAGGCAGTTGCAGATATGAGGGACAGGCGACCAGGGCAAGAGAGTGGTCCCAAGGCAGGGCTGGAATCGGCATGGAGAGGGCAGATGGAGAAGGTGGCCATAGCCAGGCAAGATCGACCTGGCCTGCCAGGACCAGGACTGGTTGGGAGAGCGGAGCTCAGAGAGGACCAGAGGGATGATGGTGTGCTGGAGGAGGCAGGATCTGGGGAACTTGGGAGGAGGCAGTACCCGGTGTGCCTGCTAGGGGGTCAGGTTAGATCACTGATCTGCAGGGAGGGTGGAAACCCTGCCGCCCACCAGTGGACAGGTCATCCAGGAGCATATAGAAGGAAGGAGGAACACAAGAGAATGGGCCTGACTCCTCTGAGAGCCTCAGTGGGCCGGGGGTCTGGGGGAGGGGCAGTGTCCACTGGGCAGGGCACTGAGCAGCACAGTCCCCCAGTTTGTGCCTGCAGATGGGAACGCAGCCTGTGTGAAGGTGCTGCGGGACATCGAGCCAGGTGATGAGGTGACGTGCTTCTATGGCGACGGCTTCTTCGGGGAGAAGAATGAGCACTGCGAGTGCTATACCTGCGAGAGGTGGGGTGGCCGGGGCACAGTGGGTCAAGGGTCTGGGTCTTCAGGATGGGGAGGGTGCCCAGCTTCGTCCTCTGTCCTGTTTCCCGTGTTCCCCCAGGAAAGGTGAGGGGGCCTTCCGGCTGCGGCCCAAGGAGCCCAGGCTGCCCGCGCCGCGGGCTCCAGACAAGTATGAGCTCCGTGAGACTAGGCGGCGGCTGCAGCAAGGCCAGGATGTCGGCGGCTGGCAGGGCCTGCGGGGTCTGCGTGCCTGTGCCCACCGATCCCCACTGCGCCGTGACCTCTTTTGTGGTGAGCAGGGCCAGGTATCCCCGGGCCCAACTTGTCAGCCAGTTAGCAGGTCCCCTCCCATCCCTTCCTCCTCTCAGTCTTTGCCTCCAGCCAGCACCTTCTCCCTAGACCTTTTTTTCTGCACCCTGTGCCCTTACACCTGACTATGCTCCTTCCATATGTTGCACCCTCCCTCCCTCCACTTTCCGCCATTACATCCTCTACCCAAGAGCACAGTGGCACCCATGAGGGGGAGGATAAACGGGTCCTGAGGGCCTTGTTCCGGCAGCTGACCGTCTTGTCTGGCTCTTTGTCCCCCACAGCTGTCTGCCAGCCCCTCCCCACCCGCCCTGACGCTGTCACACCCATCTGGCTCCAGTGGCTGCTGCAGCCCCTGTCCCGGGTGCGCCCCCGTAGACGTCGCCGGCCCCGGCCTCGCCGGCCCCCCGTACCCTCCATGCTCCGTACAGCCAGCATCGCCCTACACCCGTGGGGAGGCTGCGGCCCCTTCTGCCGCCTGCGGGCCGAGGCGCGGGTGGCCCTGGACCGCCTTCCCCGTGCCCGCTGGGCCCCACAGCAGGACTGGCACTGGGCCCGGCGCTACGGGCTGCCTCACGTGGTGCGCGTGGACCTCAGCCGCTTGGCCCCGGCTCCCCCAGCTGCCCCCACTGGGCCCCCAGGTCCTGGCCCCATCCCCAAGCAGGCCCTCGCCTTCACAGCCTTCTCCCCGCCCAAGCGCCTGCGGCTGGTGGTCAGCCACGGCTCCATCGACCTGGACGTCAACAGCGACGAGCCCTGACAAGCTGGACAGCAAGGCCATGGGGAGGGGGAGGTGGTGGGGGATGAGGAGTCCTCTGCCCATTTCTGTCCCTGGCCCACAAGTCCGTGGGGGACTTGTTGACCTCAAGGAGCCCTGGGGCCTTTGGGAGAGTGGTGACCCTGACCCCAGCACAGCTCTGACCCCAAAAGAGGGCTGTTTGGATGCCCCCAGGGATCTGATCCCTGACCCTCTGACTGCTGACCCCTGAGCCACCCCCAGCCCAGCAGGGAGCCCTGGCCATTGCTGTCCCCACCCACCTGCTTCAGGACAGAAGGGGCATTCCCCCCACCCATGCTCCTGCCTCAGCCACCCCTCCCCAGGGAGCAAAGCCATAGGGGGCGGGGCTGCCCCATGCGGTGCCCCCAGAAGCCAGGCCTCAGGAGGAGGTGGAGCCCTTTGGGGGTGGCACTCTAGCCACTGCCCCCATGAGGGGGGTGGGTTTGTGCTCAACCCTGCAGCTGTCTGAGGTGGGGAAGGTGGAGGGGCATGACCTCCTCACCAGCCCCCCGGGGTCTCAGGGAGGCCGGGTGCGACCTCTTCTTTCTCATGGTGCTATCCCTGGTGCTACTGGGGTGTTGGGGTGCCCATTCCTCCCCTCCCAATGCCAGAACTGGGTGTGCTGGGGGATTGGAAGCACTTGAACTTTTTATTTTATTTTATTAAAACCTTGTTATAAACATACCCCTTGGAAGTGTGTTGCAGTTCAAGGCGATGTCATTTGGGAGGGTAAGACCCTCAGCCTTGCTGAGGAGAGCAGCAAGCAGTGGCAACGGCCTGGGGCTTCAGGCTACTATGGGGCCCAGATAACAGTCTTGCAGAGGGCTACCGGGTACGTGGCCTTAGGAGATGAAAGGATCACATCACTGTTCAAACTGTTTTATAAAAAACGCCTCAGATACAGTCTTATGCAGCCTCACCCAACTCGGGGGGACGTGATTCTCTCCATTTTTCAGATGAAGTGACTGAGGTCCAGCAAGGCGGAGCAACATGCCCAAAGTCCCATCGGGACTGGATCTCCCTTCTCAAGTTCAGACAGACACACCACCTCAGAGGTGGGGGCCCACACCGCATGGAGGAGTGTAGGGGATGGGCTGCCCAAGAGTTCCCCCCAGCAGGGTCTGGGGGAGGAGACGCTGGGCTGGGGAGCTTGGCTTTCCACACAGGCCTGGTGAGACCTTCCTCTCTGTTGAGCCCTCTCGGGGGCCCAGCCTTTAGAAGAGACCAGGGCAGTGACTCTCATTTCTCTAGATCAGACTCAGTGTCTAATTTTTTTTTTTTAATATTGTATTTTCGGTGAAGGTTTACACAGCAGTTTAGGTTCCCATTCAACAACTTCTACACAAGTTGTTCAGTGACATTGGTTACATTCTTCACGAGGCATAAACATTCTCATTTATTTCTGTTCTGGTTGTTCCGTTTTTATTCAGCTAGTTTCCCTGTCCCCGTTACCTTCTCATCTTTGTTTTAACGTATTTGTGGACCGTTTGGTCTCATATAGGTGATTCAGTGTCTTAATTTTGCCATCGCTTAACTCTCACAGGAACCTCATTTTTCAAGTGGTAATAACAATGTACTCTGTGCCAAGCACCACACTAAGCATCTCACAGATGTTTCTCTCTGGAGGCCTCACTGGCCACACATAATTCCATGGCTAGGCTGCAGGGTTGACAGGCCTTGGAAGGGGCCATCCTGGAGGACGACAAGGTCTGGGTGTGTGTCCAGAAGCCCTCTGGGGGGCCCTGGTGGAGAGCCAACCAGAAGGGGAAGATGGCAGAAAGGCCAGTGGGACACGGGGAGAGGGGACCCTCAGAGCAGGGAACTCTTTTTACTTTAAAATTTGTTTTCATACGGTGAAACCTGTGAAACTACCCCATACGGTTTCCAAGGTGGCTGGTGGATTCGAACTGCCAACCTTTGGTTAGCAGCCATAGCTCTTAACCAGTACACCACCAGGGCTCCTTTCTATCACTATTAGTGGAAAATATTTTTTTCCTTCTCTGACAGGTTTCCACCTTATACAAGTTCCGGCTTTTGCACGTTTTACTGTGTAATGGCTAGATATAGCCTTTTTCATTCAGAGAGAAAATTATTTTTTTATGCAAAATCTACAACATCCTGTCGGTTTTCTCCAGATCCTGTTTGTAGGCTCAGGAGAAGGCACGGGTGTTGAGAGAGAGACTGCAGATGCGGGGGAACGAGATGGTGGGGGATCAAGCGGACGAGGCAGAGAAGGAGGCTGGAGAGGCAGGGATTGGCGGTTCAGGGACTCGGTTTCCCCCGACATGGGAGGCTGCTGAGAGACAGTGAGAATGGTGTTGGGATCACAGCCACAGTTTGCCGTAGCTGTGGACGCTGGCAGCGAGAGATGCTCAGATCCAGCCGAGTTTGGGACCATGAGTTTGTGGGGCTGCCTGTCCACCAGGTTGGAGGTGAGGCAAATTCAGGCCCTGTCCTGGGCCAGGATTTGGAGGGCAGCAGTGGCTGTAGCAGAAGCCAGGAGTTTTAAGAATGTTCTGGAATGAGACCTGGAATTAGTCACGTGATGATGGGGAGGATGATGGGGTCTGGGTCAAAAGGGAAAGGAAGAAGGCTGGGAGAGGGCTGGTCACCAGGTGACCGGTGCTTGATGAGGTCCAGTGGCAGGCCAGAGTCGGGCCCTGTGCTCAGGACACTACCTGCATGATGTCACCATTAGCCCTGTCATGACTCAGAGAGAGGCCTTGCCCATGTGGCACAGAGGGCTGGCCTTCCTCTTTCACCAGGCTGGCCTTGCCCGGAGGCTCTGGGGATGAAGCCCAGGCCGTGACCCAATGCCACCCGCTCCTGCAAGCTGCCAGCCCCCTTCTGGCTGAGTCCACACCCTGTGCCCTTAGCCACACCCCTGTCTGTTGGGTTGTGATGAGATGGGGCATGGGAGGCCAAGGTCCCTGAAGTGGAGTCATCGGGAGATACCATGTCTAGGGTGTGGCCCCAGGTAGGGTAGAGAGGGCAGGGAGTGAATGGATCATCACTGGGCGGGGGCAGGACGGAGCCAGTCCACCCCTCCTACCTAGCCCTGATCATGGGAGGGGAAACTGAGATTCACAGAGGTCAAGAAGCTCATCTAGGGTCACCCAGCAAAGTGTCATGATTACTAGTACCCACCTTTGGACCCAAAGAAGCCCTGGTGGTGCAGTGATTAAGCACTCAGCTGCTAACCAAAAGGTCAGTGGTTCAAATCCACGAGCAGCTCTGCAGGACAAAGACCTGGTGATCTGCTCCCATAAAGATCCCAAACCAAACAAAAACCATTGCCACTTAATCAATTCCGACTTACAATGACTCTATAGGACGGAGTAGAACTGCCCCGTAGGGTTTCCAAGGCTGTAATCTTTACGGAACTCTACAGGGCAGTTCTACTTTGTCCTATAGAGTTGCTATGAGTCAGAATCAACTTGATGGTAAGGGGTTTGCTTTTTGGTTTTTTTGAATCTTTACAGAAACAGACTGCCACATCTTTCTCTTGCGGAGCGGCTGGTAGGTTCAAACGACTGAACTTTCTGTTAGTGGCCAAGCATTTAACCACTGCACCACCAGGGCTCCTCCATAAAGATTACAGCGTTGGAAACCATATGGAGCAGTTGTGCTCTGTCACATGGGGTCACTATGAGGTGAAATTGACTAGACTGCACACAATAACACCACCACCTTTGGACCCCAGGGTTGAATGGGGCCTCACAAGACCACCTCAGGTAGAGTCTGGGGGAGGCCATTTGGGAGTGCCACTGCCAGCAGTGACAAGGAGCCCATGGAGCACAGGCAGAAACATATCATATGAGTGTCCTGTGGTTGCTATAACAAAATACCACAACCTGAATGGTTTAGAACAGAAATCCACACTTCTGGAGGCTGGAAGTCTGAAGTCAGGGTGTCAGCAGGGTCATGCTCTCTCTGAAGTCTCTAGTGGAGAACCTACCTTGTCTCTTCTGGCTCCTGGTAGCCACAAGCATTCCTTGGCTTGTAGATGCATCTTCACTTGGTGTTCTTCCTCTATGGCTCTTCTCTTTTATAAGGACACCATTCATATAGGCTTAGGGCCCATCCTACTCCAGCATGACCTCATGTTAACTGACAACACCTTCAAAGATCCTATTTCCAAACAAGGTCACATTTACAGGTACCAGGGAACACAGTTTAACCCATAACCCTGTCCAACCCAGCCTTCCCCTTTCAGGGTTGGAGACTCCAAGACCCAGTCTTGGTGTAAAAAAGGCCCTCACGGCCCGAGATGGGGATGGACTGAGGAATGGGGAGAAAGGGAAGCCAGGAGGGAGGCTGAGGAGGTGGTCCAAGCTCAAGCGGAGGCTAAGCCGTGGGGATGGGGATGGGGATGGGGGTGGTGAAGAGGATGTGAGTGACAGGTACGTGTAGGGATTGAAAGACAGGAACACCCTGGAGCCATCTGGTGTGGAGCTTGGGAGCCAAAGGGGGCTGCCAGGAAAAGAGGCCCCCTGTCTGCTGGGACCAGGAAAGGGGCCTCCACCTATTCCTATCATAGAAACAGACTCCCCTCCCTCCACCCCAGGCCTGATGGAGCAGTAGCCCCCCGCCCCCTTACCAGAACATGCCAGGTTTGCACCTGGGTACCCTGAACCCTCCTAGACAAGATTATCCCCCATCCCTCCTGGGCAGATATTAAAGAGAAAAATCAGCAATATCATCACTTTATTTGTGAATCAGACATGGCGGCCGGGTAGCAGTCGCTGGGAGACTGGAGGACTGGGGTCACTGGGGCTGGCCCCTCGGAAGCCGGGCTCGGGCAGTCAGATTTTCCCCGCGAAAGTGCCCTCTTTGATCTGCTGATTCCAGCGCTGTACCTGAGGAGGGAGGGGCGGGGAAACAGCTTAGCCCTGGCCAGAGCCCTCCACCCTCTCCCCTTCCGTCCTCTTCTCGCCCCCTCACCCAACTGATGGGGCACAGCGAGTGGTACACGCGGAAATAGTACTCGCAGGTCTGCGTGCTCTTCCCGCGCCGGCTCATCCGCTTCAAGCAGCGGTGATAGTCTGCGGGGCGGGGCAGTGGGCGGTGTCACGCAGCCAGCCCCGCCTCCTCAGGGCCTGAACCCGCCCCCATTTAGGCCCCGCCCCCCATGCTCCTCCACTCCACATCTCGCCCCGCTCCTCCCGGCCTCACCCCACACCCTCTCTCCGCCCTCTGGGCCTGGCCCCGCCTCCTCACCCAGGCCGTGTCCGTTCACACCACGCTCCTCCACTCTGGGCCTCCATACGCCCCTTCTCCCTTCCCTCGGGGCACAGCCCCGCCTCCTCATTCCAGGTCCTGCTCACGCACCACGCTCCTCCACTCCAGGGCTTGCCACGCCAAACCAGGCTCCTCCGCGCCCCTCTATTCCAGGCCACCCGACTCCATTCTTGGCCCCGCCCCTCCTGATCTCGCTTGTACCCGCCTTCCACCCCAACGGTCTAGGTCGGCCCGGGACCCCTGCCGCGGCGCGGGAATCTCTCCCGACGGTCTTCTGGTGGGGCTCGCCCCTCCGGGCCTGCCCTCGTCTCTCTCCTCTAACCCGGCCCCTGAGCTCTCTCTCACCCAAGAAGTTCTGGTAGCAGTTACGGGTCTGGTTCTGGTTGGGGAAGCGAGGGTCGAAGGGCGGCGTGTGCCATTTCCCCTTGGGGGGCTTCTGGATATCAATACCCAACATATACGGAGAAGGTGGGTCCTGCGGAGCGAGAGGGGAGCTGCGTGGGGAGGGGGCGACCCTGGCCCCGACCTGCACCCAGCTCTCGATCCCCCACCTACCCATACCCCCCATCGACCCCTGATCCCACTCTCCTGACCTCACCAAGCTGATGTTAACCGTCCCACTGGATCACGTTGTGCTGGCTTTTGGGGCTTCCCCTCGCTTTTAAGGCCATACGTGAGCACACGGAGTCTCGGGCGGCAGAAAAGCACAACCCCCCTGGATTGGCTGGAACCCCCACGACCCCAGCCAATGGGAGCCGCTGTGCTGCAGGGAACGTTCTGGAACGCGGGGCGGGGCCGATGGAGACCCCTCCCATCTCCCCCTCCCGCCAACAGCCTGCGACACCCACTTGGGGCCAGAAGCGCACTGGTCTGGGCCAGGTCCTTCAGGACGGACACACGAGACTGAGAGACAGACAGCTGCCAAGTCTCAGACTCAGGCGTTTAATCTCTGTGAAACTGGTCTGCTCTGCGGGCTCTCTCCGGCTCTGCCGGCCCCCCTGCCCCCAATATATAAATGTGTAGGTAGCTCCGGTTTCTACCAGAGAGAAGTCACCCCTGCCAGGCTTCTTCAGTATCCCAGTGCTTACAGTAGGGGTGCACTGCACCGTGGTGACCTGCAGGGGAAGAGGAAAGAGAGAGGGTGGGGTCTGGACTCCTGGGACCCAGGGGCAAGGTCTAGGGTGGGTATCCAGGGTCTCAGGGGTACCTGACCACGGCTCCTCTGGACTCTGCTGACTGAGGTTGAGTTTTCTGGATCCTGCTACTTAAAAGGCTGGGTTCTCTGCATGCTGAAGGGAGAAAGCAAGCTAGCGAGGGTTTTGGGGGGGACTGGCAACAAACAGTGACTACTGACTGTCAGTGGGGATGTGCCTATTGCTGTGATACTGAACAGATTTCTGCTGAGCTTCCAGAGCCAGATGGGCTAGTAAGAAAGGCAATGTACTTCTAAAAATCAGCCCATGAAAACTCTATGACCACAGCCTCATCTACCCTGAGATCAGAACTAGATGGTGCCCAGCTACCACTACCCACCAATCTAATCAGGGCCACAATAGATGATCCCTGATAGAATGGTAGAAAAATATGGAACAGAACCTCAATTCCTAAAAAAAAAAAAAAAGACCTACTGGACTGGTTGAGACTTGAGGACTCCCCGAGACTTTTGCTCTGACGTAGTCTTCAAACCTTGAACCAAAACCAGCCCCCGAGGTCATCTTTTAGCTAAATAACGAATTGGCACACAAAAGATACCACCTGTGAGTACCATGCTCCTTTAAAAAATCACGCATATGAAACCAAATGGTCAACAATTACTTTAAAACAAAGATGAGAAGGTAAGGAAGCAGGGAAACTAGATGAATGGGAACAACCAGAACAGAAATAATGAGAATGTTCAGGCATTGTGAAGAATGTAACCAACGTCAGTTAATAACTTGTGTAGAAATTGCTGAATAGGAATCTAAACTGCTGTGTAAACCTTCACTGAAAATACAGTAAAATATTATTAAAAAAAAAAAGAAAACAAAAACCCTGTGCAACAAAATGGGCCAATCCGCAACCGATCATGAGGATGGTGCAGGACCAGGCAGGATTTAGTTCCATTGTGCACAGGGTCGCCGTTAGTCGGGGCTGACTCCACAGCAACTAACTACATGGCTGTGGCGACAGGTGAGCCTGGGCTGGAATCTGGGTCCCCACCAGCTCCTCCAAACCCCTGTGCAAGTGGCCTCACCTCTCGGAACCAACCTCAGTTTCCCTACTAGGTTTCTGTCCCTCCTGCTTCATTAATATCAGGCCTGACTGTGGGTCATACAGTCCAAATCCAAATGTGAAAACATTCCTTGCCTCTTAAAAAGCCCTTTCTTGTCTCCACTTCCTCTACCAGCTGTTTCTCCATTTCTTTCCTCCCCTTCCAGCAAAATTCTTCGAAATATTTGTCTCCAAGTCCCCTCTTTTTTTTTTTTTTTTTTGTATTATGGTAAAATACATGTGGCATAAAATTCACCATTTTAACCATTTAAAAATGTACAATTCCGTGGCATTAAGTACATTCATGATACTGTGCGGCTATCACCGTTATTTCCAGAATATTCTCACCACCCCAAAGGGAAACCCTGTATCCATTAAGCAATCACTCTCCATTCCCCCCATTCTCAAGTAACCACTGATTTATTCTCTGTCACTATGAACTTACTTTGGATCTTTCCTGTAAATGGATTCATACAATATGTGGCCTTTTGTGTCTGGCTTCTGTCACTTAGTGTAATGTTTTCAAAGTTCATCCACTTTGTAGTGTTCAATCCCCTTCTTTTTATACTCTTCATCCTGCTGCCAAGGAGCCCTGGTTGCACAGTGGTTAAAGCGCTCGGCTGCTAACCGAAAGGTCATCGGATTAAACCCACCAGCCGCTCCATGGGAGAAAGATGTGGCAGTTTGCTTCCGTAAAGCTTTACAGCTTTGGAAACCCTATGAGGCTGTTCTACTCTGTCCTACAGGGTCGCTATGAGTCGGAATGAACTTGACGGCAATGGGAATCCTGCTCCTGGACCCTGGGTGGCGAAAGTGTGTTTGTGATTGGCTGCTAACCTAAGGATTGGAGGTTCGAGACCACTCAGCAGCACTGTGGAAGAAAAACGTGGTGATCTGCTTCCGTAAAGGCTGTTGTTGTTGTGTTTCTGTTAAAGCCATCCATTTGTGGTATTTCTGTTATAGCAACACTAGATACCTAGGACATCTGTCTACACTCGCTCACTGGTGGCCTCATCCAGTCTCATAGCTTTAGGTACGGTTAATACGCTGACGACTCTCCTGAACTCCAGACTCACACATCCACTCACTGCCTATTGCAATGTCTTCTTCTGACATCTCAAAATCATGATATCCAAAATGAAATTCCTGATCTTCTCCCCCAAACCTACTCCACTTACAATCTTCCTTATTCCTGTTGATGGCCACTAACTTCCTTCCAGAGTCTCAGACCCCAAACCTCACAGTCACCCTTGATTCCACTTTCTTTCACATCACATGTCCAATCCATGAACCAATCAGTTGTCTCAACCTTCAGAGTATCTCCAGAATCCCACCACTTCTCAATACCTCTAGCGCCTCCACCCTTGTCCAAGCCACCATCAGCTCAAGCCTGGGTTATTGCAACAGACTCCCTGTTGCATCCATTCCCTCTCCACATTCTTCACACCCTAGCCAGAGAGAGCCCTTTCAAACATAAATCAGCTCCCACCGTTCTCCTCCTCAAAACGCTCCACCTCACTCAGAGTCAAAGCCAAATTCCTTAAAATTGCCTGCAAGATCGGTTCTACATGAACCAGCTCCACTATTACTCCTTTGACTCCATTTCCTACTTTCCCTCCCCTGCCTCCATTGCTTACTCAGCCCTGTATCTCACACTATATTCCATCATGCACACTCCTGCCTCAGGGACTTTACATTGGCTGTTCCTTCTGCTGAGAATGCTTCCCCCACCCCTCCCCCCACGATGTCCCCATGGCTTCCTCCCTCCTTTCAGGTGTCTTCACACAAATGACACCGACTCAATGAGGCCTACCTAGACCACCCAATCCAATACTGCAAAGTGCCTACCCTACACACCTAATCCCCCTTACCCTGCTCTATTTTCCCATAGAACTTGTCACCTTTTAACATTCAATATGATTAACTTGTTTTTTATTGTCTGACATCTTCCCTCTGGGACAGGGTTTCCCAACCTCAGCGCTATTGATATTTTGGGCCAGTTCATTCTTCATTGTGTAGGGGGGCTGTCCTGTGCACTGTATGATGTTTAGCAGCATTCCTGGACTCCAGCCACTAGATATCAGTAGCACACCTTCCCTGATTGCTTGCTGCTATATTCCTAGTGCCTAGAGCAATGCCTAGCACATAGTCAACACAATATATACTGAGTGCATGAAAAAAAGTGGAAAGAACCGAATGATCCGTCTCTAGCTCGAGATAGCACGCCCTCTCCCATTGTTCGCTGCTGTATCCCTAGTGCCTAGAACAATATCTAGCACACATTTGACAATATATAGAGCGCATCAAGTGGAAAGAGGGAATGATCGTCTCTATTTCAAAGACAGTACGTACACTCTCTTATTGCTCGCTGCTATATCCCTAGTGTCTAGAACAATGCTTAGCACATAGTTGATGCTCAGTATATATTGAGTGAGTGAAAAAAAGTGGAAAGAGGGAATGATTATCTCTATCTCGCAGATAATGGAATTGGCGGTAAAGGTTGACTGTTACCCAAAATACCTGGACAGGGCAGGCAAGATGCCCAATTCCTCCTTTATCACCTCCACCTGGGTGGCCGAATCTCTCACACTCTCAATTTCCAAAAGCATGGGCAAGAGATCGTTGGAGGACAACCCCCATCATGGCCAGGAGCTGCTGGCTGGGCATCCAGATGGGCTCTTGAGATAATCTCATGGGCTGTTGGGGCATCCAGGTCGGGGCTTCCATTCTTTTTTTTTTTTTTCTTGTAGTTTTGACTTTAAAATGTTTATTCTTTAAAAAATTAGTTGCTTTTTATACTGCTATACAAAGTTCTTAATGTTTCTTTGGCAATGGAATATAATGGAATTTTACAACTGTATAAAAAAGTTACCTTTGCCTAAGAAATAGTATTTACTGTGTGTACATAGTAAGGGCCTCCATTCCTGACGGGGGAAGTGGGATGGGTGGCTGTGGTAGGTCCTCCCACCTGGAGGCGGGCAGAGGGATGGGAGGCCGGGGTCCACTCTCCACGCTCAGGCTGCTAGATGCAGGCAGGGACCGCAAGGACACCCTAGAATCGTTCTCTGGGTCCCAGGGTGGCTCCTCCACCTCCACCCAGTGCTGTGTGCTCTCCTTCACTCTGGTGACTGACTCTGGCTGCTCCCTGACCACCACCGGTGACCTCTTCAGCCAGGACAACTGGCTGTGGTTGGGGGATACTGAGGGCACCCTAGACAAAGAGGATGCCTCAGAATTCATGGAGAGCCAGGAGGGCAAAGTCATCACCGCCGGTCTCGAGTGCTGCTCTTTGGAGCTGGCCATGATCATCAGCTTGGCGAGGGCAAGGCCCTCCACGGAAAAGGGCCTACTGTGCTCCAGTGCAGGTCCCTGGAGGCTCAGCTCCTTTGTCTTGACCCACCTCTTCTGCTGCTCCATCTCCTTGGACTTGAGGCCTGGCAGGTCCACAGTGATCTCCTCCTTCTTCTTGCAGACTCTGTCCTCCAACTTCCCTGTGCCTTTCAAGCCCTCTAAGGTCACCTCCTGGGTTTTGCTAACCAGGACCTCTGCAGACATCTTCTTGGTTGTGCCAAAGGGCAACTCCAGGGACCGAGTCTGGGTCCTCTGCTCTACCACGTTCATCTCCTGGGCACCCGTTATCACTTCTGGCTCGGGTCTCGCTTCAGGCTGGCTTCTCTCTAGCATGTCTACTCTGTGAATTCCTGATGGCAACATGCCAGTGTCGGCAGGGATCTTTTCCAGTGATGTGGGTGGGCTGAATGCTCTCTGATATTGGGTAGATGAGGTCAGAGCCTTCTGGGATGGGGTAGGTAGGAAGAAAGACTTCCTTTTTGGAGTAGGGGGATACGTGGGCTTCTGGAGAATGACAGGGACAGCTGGGGCGTTCTGGGATGGGACAGGGACAGGTGGGACCTTCTGAGATGGGACAGGAACACGAGGGGCCTTCTGAGATGGGACAGGGACAGGTGGGACCTTCTGAGATGGGACAGGAACACGAGGGGCCTTCTGAGATGGGACAGGGACAGGTGGGACCTTCTGAGATGGGACAGGAACACGAGGGGCCTTCTGGGATGGGACAGAAACAACTGGGGCCTTCTGGGATGGGACAGGGGGGACCTTCTTGGATGGGACAGGAACAATTGGGGCCTTCTGGGATGGAACAGGGACAACTTGGGCCTTCTGGGATGGAACAGGGACAACTGGGGCTTTTTGGGATGGGACAGTGACAGATAGGAGCTTCTGATATGGGACAGGAACATGAGAGACCTTCTGGGATGGGACAGAAACAACTGGGGCCCTCTGGGATAGGACAGGGACAGGCAGGGCCTTCTGAGATGGAACAGAAGCAACTGGGGCCTTCTGGGGAATAGCAGGTAGAGCTGGGGCTTTCTGAGAGGGGGCAGCTGCCACTGTGGCCTTCTGGGGAACAGCAGGTACAGCTGGGGACTTCTGAGGAACAGCAGGTATAGCTGGGGTCTTCTGAGATGAGGCAGGTAGAGCTGGGGCCTTCTGAGAGGGGGCAGCTGCAACTGTGGCCTTCTGGGGAATAGCAGGTATAGTTGGGGCCTTCTGGGATGGGGTAGGTACAGCTGGGGCCTTCTGGGGTGGGGCAGGTACAGCTGGGGCCTTCTGCGATGAGACAGGGACAACGGTGGCCTTCTTGGGAACAGCAGGAACAGCTGTGAACTTCTGGGGCACAGCAGGTACAACAGCGACCCTCTGGGACTGGTCAAGGATGAATGGAGTCTTCCCAGATGTGGCAGGGACAGATAGGGCCTTCTGAGAGGCTGGTGGCCTGGCCTTGACATTGTGCCTGGGGATGGAGGGGTAGGGTGTGCACTGGTAGAAGGCGGTGGTGTGAGTAGTCGGGGAGAAGGAGGATGAGGACAAGGTGGTGGACGTGGCGTCCATGAGGTCTTCAATGTCCTTCTGCCACAGGTACTGCTCCAGCTGGTCGTAGGAGACCATAGAGGAGAGATCAGGGCCGTCCTCTGAGATACAGTGAGAAGGGGTCTCCATCATACATTTGGAGATGGTGACCCTGCCAGACTCGGACGAGCAGACCTGTGAGCAGACAGGGGACAGGAAAGGTGATAGTCAGAGGCAGGGGCCAGCATATCCTCCTGCAGACCCAGGAGTCCTGAGCTCCAGCCCCTCCTCCCACGGACCCAGGAGTCTGGGTCCCCAGTTCCTCCTTCCTCAGACTCAGGAGTCTCACCCCCAGTCCACTCCTCCCTCAGATCCAGGAGTTTAGGTTCTCAGCCCCTCCTCTTTTAGACCTCAGAGTCTGGATCCCCAGGCCAGTCCTCCCTTAGATCCAGGAGTCCAACACCCCTGCCCCTCCTCCTCCTACTCCCTCAGACCCAGAAGTCTAGGACCCTGGGCCCCAGTAGATAGCTGGCCTTGGAAGACTCCTTCTGGTTGACAGTGCTGGAAATGATGCTGAAGATGGTCCGAATGGTGATGCTGGGCTTCTCTGGGGGGAGAGCAGCCTGAGCCCCCAGGGAAAGGCCAGACCCACAAAAGGATTCACTCCTGGGGCAGAGGGATTGGGTGCTCTTACCGGAAAGTGGCATTTCTGTCTGAGAGCTATCACAGGTAGGGTCTGACTTGGACCTGTAGGAGCAGTATCAGTGTTTTCTTTTTGTATTTTTAAAAATTAATTAATTTATTTTTAAATTTTATTTACTTTCTTGTCGAGAATACACACAATAAAACATACACCAATTCAACTGTTTTCTACATGTACAATTCAGTGACATTGCTTACGTTCTTTGAGTTGTACAACCATTCTAAAATTCCTTCTCTGAGTTGTTCCTCCCCCATTAACATAAACTCACTGCCCCCTAAGCTTCCTGTCTAATCTCTGTTGTTGTCAATTTGATCCCATATAGATAGATCTTAAAGAGCATAATGGTCAAGGTAGACACTTTTTACTAGTTAAGCTATTGTTTGCTTTTAAGAAGACTTCAGGGGATATTTTTGGCTTAAAGTTTAACGATTATCTCAGGGCAATAGTTTCAGAGGTTCACCCAGCCTCCATGGCTCCAGAAAATACAGATTCCATGAAAATTTGAAATTCTGTTCTGCATTTTCCCTCTTTTGATCAGGATTCTTCTATGGGATCTTTGATCAAAATGTTCAGTAATGGTAGCCAGGTACCATCTAGTCATTCTGGTCTCTTGGCAAAGGGGGGAGTTGTTCATGAAGGCAATTAGCCACGTGCTCCTCCTATTCTTAACTCTCCTTCTTCCTCTGTTGTTCCAGGCGAATAGAGATGAATTGTTGTGCCTTGGATGGCTGCTTGCAAGCTTTTAAGACCCCAAGCACTACACAATGAACTAAACAAGTTATTAGGCCAATTAATTGGGATGTCCGATGAAACCATGACCCTAAACCTCCAAACCAAGGAACCAAATCCCATGAGGTGTTTAGTTGTACATAAGCAGCCTCAGTAGCTACTTTTTTTTTTTTTTTTTGGTCGTTGTAAATATGTCTATCAATCACACAACTTTTGCCAATTTAAATTTTTACAGGTGTATAACTTATTGACAGCACTTATAATAATTGGCTGTGTCTTTTTGTGTTTTTTAAGTAATAATTTTAAGTTATCCCCATGACCCCTCCCTACAGCCCCTGGTAACCTCTAATAAGCTTTGGTCTCTATGGATTTGCCTATTTTGGACATTGTATATAAGCAGGATCATACAATATTTGTCCTTTTTTGACTGACTTATTTCACTCAGCATGATATTTTCGAGGTTCTTCCATGTTGTGGTATGTATCAGAACTCCATTTCTCTTTATGGCTGAATAATATTCAATTACATGCACGGACCACATTTTGTTTATCCATTTATCTATTGATGGGCACTTGAGTTATTTCCACCTTTTGGCTACTGTGAATATGCTGCTATGAACATTAGTGTACAAGTATCTGTTTGAGTTCCTGCTTTCAAGTCTTTTGGGAATAGGCCTAGGAGTGGAATTGCTGAGTCATAAGGTAATACCCTGGGTTGTGCAAACAGTTAACACGCTCGGCTGCTAACCCAAAGGTTGACGGCTTGAACCTAGCCAGTAGTTCTGTGGGAGAAAGACCTGGCAATTTGCTCCTGTAAAATATTACAGCCTAGGAAACCCAGGTGCAGTTTTACTGTGTCGCATGGGCTCACTATGAGTCGAAATAGACTCAATGCCACCCAACAACAACAACAAAATACATAAAATTTACACTTTTAACCATTTTTGAAAAGTTTTATTGTGAAAATATACATAACAAAACATATGCCATCTCAACAATTTCTACATGCACAACTCAGTGGCATTAAGTACGTTCATAATGTTGTGTAACCATCACCTCTATCTATTTCCAGATCTTTTTCATCACCCCAAACAGAAACTCTATACCCATTAAACAATAACTCCCCATTACCCACCCCCAGCCCCTGGTAACCTCTATTCTACTTTCTGTCTCTATGAATTTGCCTATTCTAGGTATTTCGTCTTGGTCTAACAACATGCAATATGCAGATGACACAACCTTGCTTGCTGAAAGTGAAGAGGACCTGAGGCACTTACTGATGAATATCAAAGACTACAGTCTTCAGTATGGATTGCACCTCAACATAAAGAAAACAACTGGATCGATAAGCAACATGATGATAAACGGATAAAAGATTGAAGTTGTCAAGGATTTCATTTTACTTGGATCCACAATCAAGGCCCATTGAAGCAGCAGTCAAGAAATCAAATGATGCATTGCATTGGGCAAATCTGTTGCAAAAGACCTCTTTAAAGTGTTAAAAAGCAAAGATGTTACTTTGAGGACTAAGGAGCACCTGACCCAAGCCATGGCGTTTTCAATCGCCTCACAGGCATGTGAAAGCTGGATAATGAATAAAGAAGACTGAAGAATTGATGCCTTTGAATTATGGTGTTGGGCAAGAATATTGAATATACCATGGACGAACAGAAGAACAAAAAAATCTGTCTTGGAAGAAGTGCAGCTAGAATGCTCCTTAGAAGCAAGGATGGCAAGACTTCATCTCATAGACTTTGGACATGTTATCAGGAGGGGCCGCTCCCTGGAGAAGGACATCATGCTTGGTAAAGTAGAGGGTCAACAAAAAAGAGGAAGACCGTCAATGAGATGAATTGACACAGTGGCTGCAACAATGGGCTCAAGTATAACAACAATTGTGAGGATGGCGAAGGACCAGGCAGTGTTTCCTTCTGTTGTATGGGTCAGAACCGACTCGATGGCACCTAACAACAACAACAGGTATTTCATAAGGAGCCTTGGTGGTGCAGTGGTTAAGCCCTTGGCTGCTAACCAAACTGTTGGCAGTTTGAACCCACCCAGCCTCTCCACGGTAGAAAGACCTGGCAATCTGCTCCCAGAAAGATTACAGCCTAGGAAACCCTATGGGGCAGTTCTACTCTGGCTCATAGGGTCGATATGCGTCAGAATTGAGTCGACAGCATCCAACAACAACATTGGACCTTGGGGTCCAGGTCAGACCATGGTCCCTTCATCCTTCCCCCATGAGCACCAGAGGGAGGAACAAGCCTACCTCTTTTCTGTAGGCTTCGTTCTACTGTCAGTCGATTCCAGCTGCGACCAGATGAGAGGCACAGAGTCACCCACCGCCTGAGACTTGAATTTACGCTTTAGAGCCTGGGGGTGGGGCCAAGGAGGGACAGTGAGGCCAGGAGAGGCAGCCCCCGAGCTCCCCCCAACCCACAGCCAGTGCCCAGCAATGTTCCCAGGGTCTGCTCACCTTTGCCTTCCGTTGTCTCTGGGAGAACAGCAGCTTGTAAGGAAAGACAGTCTTGGTGACCGTGACTGGGAAGAGAGGAGGAGACAGCGGGTCAGGGAGCCCCAGGGAGGAAGCAGAGTGGGGCCCGACTGGGACCAGTAGGAGCAGTATCAGTGTGAGGGGAGAGGATGTGAGAGACTCCAAGGATGGCCGGGAGACAGAGGAGCCTAGGGTCTGAAGCTTCATCCACACCCGGGGGGTTGAGAGCCAGAAGATGCAGGCTGGAGCTTCAGAGATGCTAGAAACTTCTCACCTGAACGCTTGGACTGGGACGGGTTCTGTGGGTGGAAAGGGGGGCAGTCAGGCGAGAAACAACCTCTTCCTGGTTTCTACAGCCCCCTCACCTACCAGCAAGGAGTCTGGGCACCTCCAGCCCCTCCTCCCTCAGACCCAGGAATCCTGGCCCCCAGTCCCCACCTCCCTCAGACTCCGGAGTCCCCATTCCCCGCCCCCTCCTCCCCAAGACTAGGAGTCCCGGGCTCCGGCCCCCTCCTCCCTCAGACCAGGAGTTCTGCCCCCAGCACCATTCCTGGGGCCCCTGGACTTCAGGCTCTAGGTGCTCACTCCCTCTGGAATCTAGAAGCACAGATGCCTAGTCCCTCTCCTCCCCTTCTTCATCGCCATGGGTCTGTGGACTCAGAGCCCCACCTGGAGGCGCCATGTGGAGGCGAAAGGCGCTGACCGGGACAGGTCCCCAGGAGGTGGAGTATGTAGGGTCCTGGGGGCCCAGCTGGTGGCTGGCTCCTGAAGCAGGTTGATAAGGCGGATCCAGCGGTCGAACAAGAAGCCCACCTCGTAGTCGGGGGCGTCCAGCTCCAGGTAGTAGTAGCGACCTGTGGCCAGGCGCAGCTTCAGGCGCCAGGCGGCCAGGTCATGGACGTAGAGATGTACTAGGTCCAGCGGGATCATCCTGGGCGGGGGTGTGAGGGGAGCAAGAGAGAATGGTGGTATTATTGATTGAATTGTGTCCCCCCCAACAACAGTTTAGGTGTTGTAAATCCTAGCCCCTGTACTGTGGTTGTAGTCCCATTTGGGAATGGGTTTTCTTTGTTATGTTAAGCAGCCAAATCAGTGTAAAGTGTGTTTTAAACCAGTCACCTCTGAGATATAAAAAGAGCAGATTAGGACAGAGAAGCAAGCAGAGATGGGGGGAGACAGATGCCACACCACATGGAGATTACCAGGTGTCTTAGTCATCTAGTGCTGCTCCAACAGAAATACCACAAGTGGATGGCTCTACAAAGAGAAATTTATTCTCTCACAGTCCAGTAGGCTACAAGTCCAAATTCAGGGCATCAACTCCAGGGGAACGCTTTCTCCATCAGCTCTGGAGGAAAGTCCATGTCATCAGTCTTCCTTTGGTCTGGGAGCTTCTCTGCGCAGGAACCTCAGGTCCAAAGGGCGCGGTCTGCTCCCAGCACTGCTTTCTTGGTGGTATGAGGTTCCCATGTGTCTCTGCTCGCTTCTCTCTTTTATATCTCAAAAGAGATTGCATTAAGACACTAATCTTGTCAACCTCATCAGTATAACCTCATCACAGTGATAGAATTTACAACACATGAGGAGATCACACATAATCTCATCATAGTGGTAGAGTTTACAACACATAAGGAAATTACATCAGATAACACAATCATACAATACTAGGAATCATGACCTAGCCAAGTTGCTACCCACATTTTTGCGGGGACACAATTCAATCCATGACACCAGGGAACCAAGGAACAAGGACCTTCATCCCCCAGAGCCAACAAAGAGAGAAAGCCTTCCGCTAGAGCTGGCACGCTGCTTTCCTAAACTGTGAGAAAATAAATTTCTGTTTGTTGAAGCCAGGGCTTCAAACCAAGTTCCTTACAGTTCAAACCCCGCTGAGAATTTACATTTCTAACAAGTTCCCAGGCAATGCTAATGCTGCTGGTTAGGGACCAGTTCTAAGAACCACTACTAGAGCAGTGGTTCTCAAATTTTATTATACATAAGAATCACCTGGGGATCTTGTTAAAATGTAGATTCTCATTCAGTATATCTGGGGTGGAAATGCAAACCAGAGCAAACTGATTCGAAGCCTTGGTTGAAGCCACCCACACTTTTGGTATTTCTGTTATAGCAGCACTGGATAACTAAGACAGGTGGGTAGCTCAGGGGGCACAGTGCGGGTACGGAGAGGGATGGGGGGTGGAAGCACCTGGTGAGGATGAGGTTGGAGGAGTCCCTGCCTTCGGGGGGCTTCGCGATCAGCAGGAGGTCTGGCAGCACCAGGCCAGGCAGGGTGGCTGCCACACCCATGGTCAGGCGGTTGGAGCCATGATGCAGGTACACGGGGCCCCCTCGATGTGTTACCTGGGGTGGCCAGGGAGAGGGGCTGGGACCACACCTTTCTCCAGCACTCCTGTGGCACCCCCGCCCAAGCCCCCAGCTGCCTCGAGCCTACCTAGACCCAGATCCCAAACCAGAAGACCAAACCAGTTGCTGTCAAGTCAACTCTGACTCGTGGGCGACCCCATGTGTGTCAGAATAGAACTGTGCTCCACAGGGTTTTCAATGGCTAATTTTCGGAAGCAGATTGCCATGCCTTTCTTCCAAGGTGCCTCTGAGTGGGTTCAAACCACCAACCTTTCGGTTAGCAGCTGAGCAATTAACCATTTGAACCAGCCAGGGACGTGGACTCAGATCCCTGCCCCCACCCAAAAAAAAAAAAAAGAAAAAACCCAACCAGTTGCCATCGAGTCAACTTCTACTCATAGAGGCCTCATGTGTGTCAGAGTAGAATTCTGCTCTATAGAGTTTTCAATGGCTGATTTTTTTGGAAGTAGGTCGCCAAGTCTTTCTTCCAAGGCATCTCTGCGTGGACTTGAATCTCCAACCTTTTGGATAGCAGCGAAGTGCTTAACTGTTTGCACTGCCCAGATACTCAGATCCAGATCCCCTCCAAAAACAAAAACCAATTGCTGTCAAGTCAACTTTGACTCATGGTGCCCCCATGTGTGCAGAGTAGAGCTGTATTCCACGGGGTTTTCAAGGCTGTGACAGTTTGGAAGCAGATCACAAGGCCTTTCTTCTGAGGCACCTCAGGGTGAATTCAAACTGCCAACCATTTGGTTAGCAACTTAACCATTTGAGTCACCCAGGGGACTCCGACCCGACTCTCAGTCCCTCCTAAAGTATCCCCTTCCCGCCCCAGGTGCCTTGCTTCCATCCAGCCCCTCTCAGCCCCAGGGCAGAGGGAGCCGGGGACCTGGACAAAGTTACTCTCGAACATGGGCAGCGGGCGGAGGGGCAGGTACTCGCCCTTCTGGAGGGTCTTCTGGAGCTCTCCCAGAATGGGGACCCACTTCCGGGGGCTCTGGAAGGGTTCCAAGCGCCCGATGTTCAGGAGCCAGTTCATGGTGGCTGCAGGAGGGTTGGGCGGGGCACAGAGTCAGGCACCCAGGTGTCTGGCCTGCCTGGTCCCCCAGCCCACCGGCTTTGGCCCCTTGGGTTTCACAGGTGCCTGGAGCTCAGTGGTCACAGAGGGTGGGGCTTCCCCAGGGCTGGGAGACAGAGGCCGTGGCCATGGCCCGGTGAGGGTGGGCAGCACTGGCCAGGGGGTGGAGCCCGCGGTAGAGAGGCTTTGTGACGTCATCAGACACACTGGGGACTCTTCCTGGAAACTCTCCAGGCTCCCTTTTTCTCTGGGGATATGACCTGGGCCTTGGGGGCTGGGCTGGGTGGATCAGGACCCTAAAACCAGGCTGGGCACCCCCTACCTACCCACCCACCCACATACTCCTATTCCAGACCCAAACCAGTGACAAACCAAGGTCCCTGGTCTTAAAAGCTTGTCAGCAGCCATTTAAGATACTACTATTTGTCTCTACTCGTCAGGAGCAAAAGGGAAAGAAGGTTACAAACTCTCAGACAAGAAACTAGTCTATGGGGCTAATAGCCTACACAAGCCATGGCCTCATCTACCCTGAGACCAGAAGAACTAGATGGTGCCTGGCTACCATGACTGACCGTTCTGATCAGGGCCACAATAGATGGACCCTGATAGATCAGGAGAAAAACGCAGAACAGAACCCAATTCCTAAAAAATCCAGACTTACTGACCCAGTTGAGACTAGAGGACTCCCTAAGACTATCACCCCGAGATACTCTTCAGACTTTGAACCGAAACTATCCCCTGAGGTCACCTTTTAGTGAAATAACAGACTGGCTCACCAAATAAAGGATATTACCCATGAGTATGGTGTTCCATTAAAAAATCATCTATGTGAGACCAAAAGGTCAACAATAACTCTAAAGCAAAGATGAGAAGATAAGGGGGCAAGGAAATTAGAATACTGGAAGTGGAACAACTAGAATGCAATTAAAGAGAATGTTGACACATTGTGAAAAATATAACTAACGTCACTGAACAATTTGTGTAGAAATTGTCAGATGGGAACGTAATTTGCTGTGTAAACTTTCACTGAAAAAACAAAAAAAAAAATCAGGGTCCCCGGAAGAGTCTAGGATACTGTAAACGGATGACTCTTCAGTGGGTTTCTGACTGTATGAGGGGCAGCCTGAATTACAACCCCAACTCCACTAACGATGCTTCTTTTGATTCTGGGTAAGACCATGCCCTTTCTGAACCCCAGTGTTGTGGACTGAATTGTGACCCCCAAAATATAAAGTCCTAACCCCTATATCTGAGGATGTGCTCCTGTCTGGAAATAGGGATTTTCTTTTATTATGTTAATAAGATCATGCCAGAGCAGAGTGAGTCCTAAACCTAATCACTTCTGAGTTATAAAAAGAGCAGAATAGACAGAGACACACACACACAGGGGAAGATAGATGCCATGTGAGGACCTGTCTGCAAATGAAGGAGTGCCGAGGATTGCCAGCAGACACCAGGAACTAGGAGAGAGACCCATATGAGGAATAGATGTGGCTGAGACCCTGATGTGGACTTTTAGCCTCTAGAACTGTGGGAAAATAAGTTTCTATTCTTTGAAACCACCCATTTGTGGTATTTCTGTGATGGCAGCACTAGCTAACTAAGATGGTGGCAGCGGTGGCTCAGTGGTAGAATTCTGGCCTTCTATGTGGGGAGGCCTGGCTTTGATTCCCAGCCAATGCACCTCACTCGGAGCCACCATCTGTCTGTCAGTGGAAGCTTCCGTGTTGCTATGATGCCGAACAGATTTTAGCAGAGCTTCCAGACTAAAATGGACTAGGAAGAAAGCCCTGGCGATCAACTTTTGAAAATCAGCCAATGAAAACCCTATGGATCACAATGATCCGGTCTGCAACTGATCATGGGGACGACGCAGGACCAGGCATTGTTTCGTTCCGTTGTGCATGGGGTCATCATGAGTGGGAGGACAACTGACGGCAGCTAACAATGATAGGAAACCAAGACACTCAGTTTCCTGATATCTAACATGTTTGTGTTGATGTGAATGATTGTGGAAAGCTGAGGTATAAAGAAAGGGACACTAGCTTTGGAATGACCCAGACCTCTAATGGAATCATAATTCCAACTCTCCCTAGCTGTGTGACTTGAGTGACAGACATTCCCTGTCTGAGCCTCAGTTTTCCTTAGCTGTAAAACAGGGGCTATTTGAGGATCCAGGGAAATCATTTAGGAGACAGACCAGAGTAACACTCAGTTAATGGTCTTTCTTTTCCCTTCTGGGGGCTTTCTGGGGGGCCGGTCTCCTGTCAAGGAGCCTGGGTGGCACAAGTGGTTTGTGATCAGCTGCTAGTCTGAAGCTTGGCAGCTCAAACCCACTCAGCCGTACTGCAGAAGAAAGGCCTGGTAGTCTGCTTCCATATGGATTACAGCCATTTCCATACAGATTACTCTGTAACACATGGGATCGCTGTAAGTTGGAATAGACTCGACAGCAACGGGTTTTTTTGGGGGGAGGAGGAGGGGTCTTCTGTCATTCTAAAAATAGTGTTTATTGTTTTTTAAAAATGCGTCATGCAAAATACATGGTCATTGTAAAATTGTGGAAAATACAGACAAATGGAAATAATAAAAATCATTCACAATCCCACCCCTCACTTTCAACCTTGAGACGGGCTTTGTCAACATTTTGGTGCATTTCCTTCAAAGATTTTTTTTACATTTATATCTATATATGTTGTTATAAGGAGCCCTGGTGGCACAGTGGTTAAGCACTCAGCTGCTAACTGAAAGGCTGATGGTTCAAACCCAACAACCACTCCACGGAGAAAGATGTGGCAGTCTGCTTCTGTAAAGGTTACAGCCTTGGAAACCCTACAGGGGCATTCTACTCTGTCCTATAGGGTTGCTATGAGTCAGAATCGACTCGACAGCAACAAATTTGTGTTTTTTTTTTTTTTTTGGTTTGGCTGTTGTTAATTGCGCTCAAGTTGACTCTGACTCATGGCGACCCCATGTGTACAGAGTAGAACTGCTCCATAGGGTTTTCAAGGCTGTCACCCTTCAGAAGCAGGTCGTCAGGCCTGTCTTCTGAGGCAACTCTGGCTGGGTTCGAATCGCCAACCTTTTGTTTAGTAGTTGAGAACTTACCCATTTGCTCCACCCAGGAATTCCTATACTCACACACACACACAAAACGGGATCACACAGTGATTCTGCAGCCTGCTTGTTCATGCAACAGTACATCGTTCTATATCTTAGGCACCCTTCTGCAGCACCCCTTTACATGGTTGGATGGTACTGCGTCATACATGGATGTGATCATTTATTTAAGAAGTCCTGGTGATGCAGTGGTTAAAGTGCTCGGTTGCTAACTGAAAGGTTGGTGGTTTGAACTCGCCAGCTGCTCAAAGACGTGGCAGTCTACTTCTGTAAAGATTTACAGCCTTGGACACCCTATGGGTCAGTTCTAGCCTGTCCTATAGGGTCACTATGAGTCAGAATTGACTTGATGGCAACGGGTTTGTTTTGTTTTTGTTTTTTTGGTGGCACAACAGTTAAGCGCTCAGCTGCTGACCATAAGGTTGGTGGTTCAAACCCACGCAGTGGCTCCACAGCAGAAAGATCTGCTCCCATAAATATTCTAGCCTAGGAAACCCTATGGGGCAGTTCTACTCTGTAATACGTGGGGTCACTATGAGTTGGAATTGACTCGCCAGCACCCAACAACAGCAAATCATTTATTTAATTATTCCCTGCTGCTGTGCACTTAGGAGCCCTGGTGGCCCAATGGTTAAGTGCTTGGCTCCTAACTGAAAGGTCAGCAGTTTGAACCCACCAGCCGTTCCACAGGAGAGACAAGTGGCAGTAGGCTTCTGTAAAGATTACAGCCTTGGAAACCCTATGGGGCAGTTCTATTCTGTCCTATGGGGTCTCTATGTATCGGAATCAACTCAATGGCAACAGGTTTGCTGGACATTTAGATTATTTCTAACTTGCTACTGTGAACATTGCCATAATGAACAATCTTGAGCTTGCAGCTTTGTCCAGCTGCAAAGTTCCCCTAAAGTGTATTGCTGGTCACGGTGTGACCTTCTGGAAGCTTCTTTTATCCATTCAAATATTTATTGAGTGTCTACCCTGCCCCTGAGGTCCCTGGGTGGGGCAAATGGTTTTCACTTGACTACTAACTTAAAGGTTGGTGGTTCGAAAGAAAGGTCTGTCTTCCAAGGTGCCTCTGGGTGGGTTCAAACCTTCCGGCTAGTAGTGTACCACTTAATCATTTGTGCCCCGCAGGGTCTCCCTGTAAAGATTACAGCCATGAAAACTCCATGGAACAGTTCTACAATGTAACACATGGGGTCACCATGAGTCAGAATTGACTTGATGGCAATGAGTTTGGGTTTGTTTTTTTAACCCTCCTCCCATGGAGTTCACAGACGCTCAACAACAAAAAGTCTCTCCTCCTTGCCCTTGTCTACTTAATGCCTCTTGCTCCAGTTTCTTCCCATCCTGCCCCCTCACCCACCTCAGGGACCCTAGATCTCAGAAAAATCGCCCCAAATGTGTGTATACGACAAATTTAATTTCCCCTTCTCGCAAAGGTTTCTCACATTTTTGTACAAAAACCCAGGACCCCTTTGCCCTTCTCTCCCCACCACAACAAAAAAAGTCATTATATAATAAATAATAAATGCTCCTGCCCAGGCCCAGAGGGATGAGAGCCAGGACACTGTGCCCAGGCTTCTTAGAGACCCAAGAATCCGGGAGCCCAGTTCTCACCTCCTTAGGGACCCAGGAGTCCCTCTGCCTCCTACCCCCCTCAAATAAATAAGCATAAATAAGGCACAGATACCCGCCCCCCAGGTCTCTTTACGGGACTGTGTCTAAGTAGGGGGAGGTAATTGGGGGGGGTCCCCTGGCTGTCATGCCCCCAGTCCCTAAATAAATAAATAAATAAGATCTGGCTTTGAAGGACAATCATGGCTTCGGGTCCAGGGGTCACAGCCGAGTCCTCAGCACCAGCAACCCCCGCACGGCCCAGTCGAGAGTGAGATGCAATCCCCCCAGGATGGCGTGGGCTGCCCTGACGCCTCCCCAGGCTGAGGCAGGAGGGGCCAGTGGGGGCGCCGGGGGATCTGGGGATGCCTGGGGCAGGGCCAGGTGGGACATCTGTTGAGAGAGGACAAGAGGGTTAGCAAAAGGTATAGATGCAATGGGGGGGGGGGCAGGGGAAGGGATGTTTGGGGCATCTATTGAATTTGAGTTGGGAAGGGTCTCTGTTGCATATTTCCAGAATGTCTGTGGGATGAGGTGTCTGGCCAGGGGGTGTCCTGAAGGATGTTGGGATTAGAAAGTGGAGGCTGGAGTCAAAAGTTTGGGGGTTGTAGGGTTCCAGGGTTAAGGCTGGAGTTCCTGGGCTAGGTTCGGGGTTTGAGTTGGGGTCTTTCGAGAAGGCTGCGGTCTTGGAGCTAGGTGAGGGCTTGGATATGGGGCCCCTGTGGTTGGGTCAGTGTTGGGTGGGCAGTGCTGAGGTCTTGGAGCAGAGGGCTGGGGTCCAGGGTCTGTGTGGTTGAGTCAGAGTTGGGTGGGCAAGGCTGGGATCTTGGTGCTAGATGAGGGCTGGAGTCTGGGGTCTCTGTGTTTGAGTCAGGGTTGGGTAAGCAGGACTGGGATTTTGGAGCTAGGGTTTGAGGGACAGTGTTGGGGTCTGGGTTCTGTGGTGTCAAGTGTGGGATCAAGGCCCAGAATCTCAGGCTGGAGTCTTAGGTCTGGGCTCTCTAGGATCAGGCTCAGGGACACGTGGGTGAGGTCTGGAGTCTTAAGTTTGGGATCTCAGAGCTGGGATCTAGAACTTTAGGTCCAGGGTTTTCTGGGGGCAGGTTTAGGAACTGGGGTCTGAAGTCTTCTGGTCTCAGGGTTTTGAGTCTGGGGTTTTAGAAGCCAGAGTCTTAGGGATTTAAGGGCTCATGACCAAAATGTGGAGTCTCAGGGTCTCAGAGCTAAGGTCTTGGGTGTCTGGAATTTAGAAGTCTTGGGAGTGAGATGTAAGGTCTCAGGGCTCAGGGTCTGGGGTCTTGAGATTTCAGAGCTAGAGTCCTAGAAGCCAGGGTTTGGGGACCAGAGTCTTGGGGGCTGGGGTCTTGTAGTTTGAGATATCAGGTCTAGGTTCTTGAGGTGTGGGGTTTGGAGAGCCATGGTCCCAAGGCTGGAGTTAAGGTCTCTGGGTCTGGGTCTGGGTCTGGGACCTTGAGGTGTTAGCAGGGGTGGATTATCCAATAAGCAAGGTAAGCACAGTGCTTACCTTGCTTACCAGATCATCTGTAGTGAACAATTTCACATTTTTTCACCACATCTAAGATTCTGCTTCTAGGTATGGCTGGCATCTATCTCTCTCCCAACCCCATTTCAAGTTTACAATCCCTGACAGGGGCAGATGACCCAGTAAGCAAGGTAAGCACAGGCTTACTTATGCTTACTTACTAATCTGTAGTGAACAATTTCTTTGATGTGGTGAAACCCATGTGAAATTGTTCACCAGAGATTAGTAAATATGCACAAGTAAGCCCATGCTTACCTTTCTTACTGGATAATCCGCGTCTGGGTGTTAGAGTCTCGAGATTTGGGATCTTGGTGTCTTGGAGCCAAGGTCTCCAAATATTGGGCTGAGGGTTTGGACCCTTGGGATTTGGGACCTGAGGGTTGGTGTCTTGGGTCTCGGGATCTTAATGCGTATGGTCTATAGTCTCAGGGCAGCTCTTGGGGCCTGGGGTCTGGGATCTCAGGTCTGGGAGCTTGGTGTTATGGGATCATGGACTATGGGGTCTCAGGGTCTTGGTCTGAGGGTTTGGAGTTTCAGGGCGGGGTTTGGGGGTATAGAATTTCATGGTCTTAGGGTTATGGGGTCACAGGATCTTGGGGTTACAGAGCCAGGGTTTCAGGGTCTGAGTTTTCAGGGCCAGGGCCTAGAGTCTAGGATCCTGGGGTTACAGGTTTCAAGGAACTTGAGGTCGCAGGGTGGCAGAGGGGTGTCTCAGAACAGGGATCCCGCAGTTGGGTATGGCTTTTCAGGGCAAGAGTTTAGGGTCTGGGGTCTTGGGGTCACAGGATTAGGGTCTCAGGACCTGGGATCTCAGATCTTGGAGCCAAGGGCTTACCAGGAGTTGTAGCCGGCGCAGGAGCCGGTCCAGCCGGGCCTGCAGGGTGCCCAGCTCAGGCTCCAGGGTCCGAAGAGAAGGTCCGCCGGTCCGGCGCAGCCACTGCACATGCCTCAGATAGGACAGCAGGTCGGCCCGCAGTCGTGTCAGCACTCCCGGGAGCTGGTGACAGAGGACAGGCATCAGGGAGCACCAGCACATGTCTGTCCTGGCCCCCGAGACCCCTACCTCCTTCCCTGCCCAACGCCCATGGTCACTCCAACCTTGTCCCTGCCCTTACCTGCAAGGCTCCCAGTGCTCCTGCGCTCATGGCCAAGGTGGGCAGGGAGTCCAGGCTGTGGTCTCCTTCGGCTGGGAATTTGTCTTTCTGATGGGAAAACAGCTGTGAGGGGGGAGGGCCCACCCAGCTCGGAGTTCCCGCCATCCCCACTGATCTGCATGCTTCTCTTTCCTTTCTATCCTGCCCCTACAACCCAGGTTGGGATTGGGGCTCCCAGGCTTGTCCTCATCCCCCTGGTCTCCCTGCCTCAGTTTCCCTCCCAGAGCTTCTCTGTTGGTGTCTCCAGGTGTCTGCACCCCTCAGTCCCCACCGACTCTTTGAGGGTCTTGGAGTCACCTCCCAGCTCTGTCTCTCTCTGTGGGTCCCCATGTCTGGCCATTCCGTGTCTCTGCATCTCTGGTTTGGTCCTTGCATCTCTGTCTCTGTCTCCATCTCCCCAGCTCACTGGGGTCTGTCTTGCTTGTTCTCTCTGAATGGTCTTTTCTCTCCTCTCTTGTGACCCTGGATCCTTTGTCCCATCCCCCCCACCCCCGCCCATCACAGCCTTGCAGGCTCTTACCAGCTGTGCCGCCAGCTGCCTAGTGTCTGCCAGGAGGGCGCGGGTCAGGAGGACAGCACTGTCCAGCTCTGCTCGTGGGTCTGGGGAGGCTCGTGGGGGTCCAGGAGGTGGCCCAGGAGCAAAAGCGCTGTCTGGCCACAGGCTCAGCACGACCAGGAGCAGTCGGCAAACACCTGGGGAGGGGTACAGAGAGTTCAGGTCAGATTCCGGGTCTGAGGGAGGAGGGGGTGGAGGGGGCCCGGACTCCTGGGTCTGAGGGACTGGGAACCTGTACTCCTGGGTCTGAGGGAGGAGAGGCCGAGACCCCGGACTCCTGTGCCTGAGGGAGGAAGCTGAAGGCTTGCGTTCGAGGGTGGAACGCCCGGGGCAGGTCCCAGGCCGGGTGGCCTTCCCTCTCCCCTTTTGCTCTGGCAGCCCCGCCTGTCGGAACAGACGCGGCCCGGGGCGGGTAGACGGGCCGGGCGTCTTCCGTCCGCCCCCGGACGCCAGAATCTGGGCCCCGGGGCGGGGCATGAGGGGGGAGGTACAGGCCAGAACCTGTCCCCTCCCCCGGCCCCAGGAGCCCGAGCTGGACTTGGGGGCAGGGAAAGGAGCCAGAGACAAGGACACAGGCACGGATCCCCCGGCTCCTCCTCTGGACACCCGCATAGACCTACCCCCCCGGTCCCCGGGAGAGACGCCCCGGTGGGCTGCAGGGGCCGGTCCGCAGTGTCTGGGGGTGACGCGGAGCGCACCTGGGCAGAGAGACTGAGCCGCAGGCCGGAGGGAGCCGAGAGCCGGAGCGCCAGGCAGGGCGTAGGGGTCTGGCCGGCTTTCCCCAGTCGCCCACCCCGCGCCCCGCCCACTGGCCGAGCGCCAGCCAATCAGCGTCCCCCGACCGCCCGCTTCTTATCACACCCCCAGCGCGCCCCCTGGTCCTCTCCTGCCGCGGCCCAGCCTCCGGCCCCTCCCCACCGGTGTCTGTCTGTCCTGCAGGCCGGCCGCCCGCTCCTGTCTGGCTCCCCGATTTCTGTCTGCACCCCTCTCTCTCTTCCTCTGGGCTGGGACGGGGCTCCCGGGCTTACCTCAAACCCTTGGTCTCCCTGACTCAGTTTTCCTCACCGAGCCCCTCTGTCGGGGTCTCTGGGTGTCTGCGCCTCTTCATCCCCATCGACTCTCTAGGGGTGTCGGGGTCACCTCCCAGCTCTGTCTGTCCCTGTCTGCGGGTCCCCGTGTCTCTCCTCCGTCTGGCCGTGTCTTGGTGTCTCTGATTTGCTCCTTCCATCTCTGTCTGTCTCCTCATCTCATCCAGGTCTGGGGGTATGTCTCCTGTCTTCTCTCGGAATCCCCTTTGCTCTCTGTTTCTGACTCCCCATGGATCGCTCTCCCCCGTCCTCTGTCCCTCGGTCTCCACTTGGTCCCCACTAGGTCCCACTCAGATGTCAGTCTGCTCCCTGCCATCTCCCGCTGTCGGTCCCTCCCTCCCTACCCCCCTGCCCCATAAACTTGAACCCACTTACAGTTCATGTCCCCACAGGGCCAGGGGTTCCCCAGGGCGGAGGGGAGGGCTCTGGAGACTTTTAACCCTTCCCTGGCCGCTGCGGGCCCGGGGTCAGCTGGGCCGAGGCCAGGGGAGGGGAGGCATGAGCGGTGCGGGTGTGAGCGGCGCCTGGCAGTGAGGGCGTGCGGCCGCCCCAGGGCTTATATAGGGGGCTGGG